AAATGTGCTATAATTAGTACCTGAAAAAGAAAAAAAAATCAACATACTTTAACAAATTCATGTGGTATGTAAAAAAAAAAAAAGTAATTTTTAAAAGTTATCTTTTTCTGTATTTTCACACAAGTAGATTCACTCTGTGGGTTTTTCATTTCTAAGCTGTTAAAGTTTTAATAATTGGATCACCTATTTACTATTACTGGTTTTTGCTTCTACTTTTGGTGCTTTTTATTGTACAGGGTGTCCCAGAAGTCTGGACCCACCCAGGAAAAATACACCATTTCTTCTGAATATATTTATTATTCAAATTGCGTGCCATTAACAGCCATACACACATCAGTTATTGATATACTGTATTTTTTGTTTACTGAAATATGTACAACTGTCATTAGAAATATGTTTGTTTAACTTTAGGAATATATAATGTATATTATCCCTGTGGGTCCAGACTTCTGGACTTTCCAATCCTTTATTCAGTCAAATATTTTAATTCTAACCGTTATCCCACTTTAGAAATATTTTTCTGCACTAACAATTCTTAAACATTTTATACATTTCTTCTTTTTTACTTGTTTGGTTTTAATCCAAGTAGCGCAAAGAATAAACACAAAATCAAAACCAATAGAGTACAATGTGAAACTTAAATTCGTTGATACAACCGATGTAAAGTACCGTTTCCCATATCGGTATCGGTGAAACTTACATGGCTAGTGTTGATGTTAAGTTGATCTTTTGTAAAGAATTGAGTATTTTGTGAGAATCAGGTTTGAAATTATCTTGTGTACAAGGTTGTCTGTAATAGTTAGATTTTACGTTTTCTTCATAGAACATTTTGCTAGTTTTTCTTATTTTTAATGTGATTTTTTTTTTCCATCTATACACAGTGATTATTTACTATTTTGTACTCGCACTGTCTTAAGATGTAAATAAAACATTATGCCAGTGAAATATTATGTTTCTGGAATAAATTAAGCTCTTTTTTAATCTGAATTTTTTTTGGAAAAATTATGAGAGTCATCTACTTTTTTTAATATTTTCTTGATGGCTAAAGGCTTATAATGTTAAAAAGTCAGGGCCCAATACCTCCAGTGGACACAGCGTAGACAGCCCATTATATAGGTTTGTGCTTAAATATGTTTCTGGAATAAATTAAGCTCTTTTTTAATCTGAATTTTTTTTGGAAAAATTATGAGAGTCATCTACTTTTTTAATATTTTCTTGATGGCTAAAGGCTTATAAGGTTAAAAATTCAGGGCCCAATACCTCCAGTGGACACAGCATAGACAGCCCATTATATAGGTTTGTGCTTAAACACAAATAAACAAAAATTTTAATAAATACATGAATACTTTTAACAGACTATATACATGGGTAATATTTCTTGGCAGGAAACAGCTCTGGGAGCTAGGCATGACACTTCAAAAACTAAAAATATGTATGTAAAAAAAATTCAATTTACACCAGAAATTGTGTTTCGTAACCAAAGGTTGGCAGAACAGGAGGTATGCAAGAAAGATAGTACATTAATAAATTATGTGATTTTAAAACTTGTTTAGATGTTAATGATTTTTTTTTTGGCACACAGTTCTTTTGTTGTTGTTGTTTTTCCCACTTGCTGCTTAACTTAAATGAAAGGGAATTGTGTATTTTCTCTCGCTGTTATATGTGTATTCAATCTGGCTTTATTGTAAATAATCACAAATAATTAGTATTAAATATTTCCTTTGTTGCTACATATTATCCCTGATTGTGTGTCAACAAACAAGGAACATGAGGTCATTTCATGAGTTGCTACACATTATTCTGATCTTATGTCAACAAGCAAGGAACACGAGGTCATTTCATGAGTTGCTACACATTATTCTGATCTTATGTCAACAAACAAGGAACACGAGGTCATTTCATGAGTTG